CCTGCTAGGGCCAACAGTTACTGTTAACACCAGGAGATATGTTTGAAGCACAGCTTACCAAATGTATTTTGAATACTCATTTAGTCCTTAACAAGGAAAACTTCCCACTTTTTTTCCCCCCAAATATCCAAGAAAAAAGATAAATGAGGAATACCAGCTACAAAGATGTACCAGAGCATGTACCATATATCCCCAAATATGACCAGCATGTGCCTTTGGCTGACTGTATCTTAGATACAAAAGGTATAGCCCACAGAGTACTAGTTTTTGCAAACTTCAGCTAGACTCCCTATTCCTCTGCAGGTGCTGCTGTTCTGGTTTTAAGGTCATATCAGCCTCTTGTTCTATAAAACCATCTGTAATTATTCCTAGTAAGCACACAGCAAAGACAAAGGTGACCTCTGCAGGTTTTTTCTTATAGATATTCAGAAAAGAGGCAGTCTGCTTCAGTCATCAAGGCACAAATGACAAGAACATAGCTATATATGTTTACATCTTTGTTTTACAACACATAAATGTGCATGCCAACATAGCACTGTCCTCCTGGGAAAGTCTCAGCTTACCCTTGGCATGACAAACACAGGCATTCTAGCTACAGAATGGAGTGGCAGAGACAGACTGCCTCTACCATCTGCAAAATACCAGTCTGTGAGAAAACAGCCTCCCACTATAGACAAAAGGGGCACAAGCAAAAAGAATATCAATGCCTATATAAAACTTACCTTCTAGCAAATCAGAAGCTGATCCTAAACAGTACTCCATAACCAACTGCAAGAAAAAAAAGCATGTTTTTAAATAACAGGGTAGACACTCTCCACAAAGTTACTACTCAAATGGCTTTGAAGCAGTAGAAGCAAATAAAACCTGAAGTTGCAAAGTGATTGAGTGATCATCCTTGGAGGTATTCAAAAGGCCTACAGATGTGGCACTTAGGGGCATGGCTTAGTGGTGAGTTCGGCAGTGTTAGGTTTATGGCTGGACTCAATGATCTTAAAGGTCTTTTCCAGCCTAGATGATTCTATGAAATGCAATAAATTACAAACAAAATAAAATGCTCCAAACATTCCAGCAGCATCAACACATCTATCGTTGGTGTAAAGAAGGTTTAGGCACTGAGAGATTTGTGGGGAGATACTGCAGAGGATGTTCCATAATAATTGTTTAACCTGCACAAACACAGAGGCCTGCCTCAGAGAAACGGGGATTTGTTCCAATATCCTAAATATCTATTCCCTTTAAATTACCTGGAAGCTTCTTCACGTGAAAGAGACCACAAGCAGCACGGGATGAATATTGCTGCATGTAAAGACACTGCATATACTGAATATCTGATTGCTGTACTGTACCTTTTCTGCTCATGAAGACCTCTAAATGCCACATCACTCACTCACCCATGCTGTATGCTCCTTCAGGTAACAGCCCTTGTACTCTATGGTGTTGGGGTGCTTCAGCTGTTGTAGAAACTTGACTTCTTTGATGATATCCTGCCATTTCTAATTAAAAAAAAGGCAAAAAGGTATAAATACATTTTTCTGCTTAATCCCCTATGTACTCTCATACACCACATGCTGTAGTACAGGCTGAGAAGCAACCATAAAAATATTTTACAATGTGAAGACTGTAAGAGTCATAGTTGCAGAAGCACACCTGCACATCAGTTGTCTGGATCCAAATTGCACTCCCCAAGACATATTTAAACAGCTTGAGGATTGCAAAAATATTTTCTTCTCTCCTTTTAACAGCAATACATTTTACTTAAAGCATTGATACTTTTTTGCATATTGAACTGTCCAGAGATCTTAAGCTTAGTAACAAACCCACTTGCCCAAACAGACAACACCACCTATAATATCTGCTAGAGACAGGAGGAATTAGCTGTTCACTTCCTTCTGTAACGCAGCACAAAGCCACTGACATTTGGAAGACTTCAGCACACGTGGGAGACCAACAAATAAGCAAGGAAAAATGGGTTTAAACCATCCCTGTTTGCTCTTAACAAACACGTTCTCCACTGCATGTCAATGCACCAATGGACTCAATCCAGGTTCAAAGCATCACAACACAAAAATAAGAGCAGCAACTGACAAGCAACAGTTGAAGCAAGACTGATATTCTGAATACAAGGTCTATGCAATTTTAGTTTATAGAACCTGAAAAGTGTTTTAAATCAGCTATACATGTCAGGCAACATCTCAAGAAGTTGTGGTTATAGCTCCAGCAGCCAGTATGCTCTAAATGTATTTATTACTGGAATTATTACTGAAATAACCACCATACAAGCATTCCAAATTCCCATTCACTTCCTCAAAATGAACTATTTGTCAAAAATTGCATAAGCTCATTTTCCCCCTCTACAAATCTCCAGGCTTCCTATGGAAGTGAGCAACAGCTAACACATTAAAAAGCTGGTCTGCTAGGGTCAAATGAAATATGCAGCTAATTTCACTGATTAGTTAGAACAAGTCCAGAGAAGGGCCACCAGGATGATGTGAGGGCTGGAGCAGCTCTGCTGTGAGGACAGGCTGAGAGAGTTGGGGCTGTTCAGCCTGGAGAAGAGAAGGCTCCGGGGAGATCTTATAGCAGCCTCCCAGTACCTGAAGGGGCTACAGGAAAGCTGGGGAAGGACTTTTCATAAGGGCAGTTAATGACAAAACAAGGGGAAAAGGGTTTAAGCTGAAAGACGGGAGGTTTAGATGAGATATTAGGAAGAAGTTCTTCACTGTGAGGGTGGTCAGACACTGGAACAGGTTGCCCAAGGAAGTTGTGGCTGCTCCTCCCTGGAAGTGTTTAAGGCCAGGCTGGATGAGGCTTTGAGCAACCTGGTCTAGTGGAAGGTGTCCCTGCTGATGGCAGGGGGGTTGGAACTGGATGAGCTTTAAGGTCCCTTCCAATCCTAACCATTCTATGATTCTATAATATTATGGTCGCAACAGCTTCTGCATGTGGAATTGGCTTTATTCATCTTACCTCATTCGTTTGCTTTCCACTATAGGACATTTTCTTGACTGCCACCACCTCATTAGTGTGGGAATTCGTAGCCTGGAGTAGGGAAAAAGAAATAGATTGAAAAAAGTTTAATTTTTTTCCTCCCCATGGAGCGAGCTGTACATTTGGCAAATGCAGGCTTTTTTCTCCTATATCGCCTCCTTGCAAGCTCCCACACTTCAGGGACATCTTCCTCATGATAAGATTTACCAGACAACTATTATAACCCCCTCCTCTGACTTTATCTGTCTGTCCATATCCACTGTCTCTCCCTCAGCCCTTACTGTGCTTGCTACCTCTCTACTGATACACAAAAAAAGGCAAAATATTGCACCTACTGAGAACACATGAAATAGTTTTATTGGAATTGGAGTAAAAACAGTTTTAGATTAAAAAAAGAATTTCCAAAAGGTTTTTTTAAGAAACAAATATAGCAGTGGATCAAAGTCTGTTTGATTTAATAAAAAACCCCATACAACAGTGACATTCTCAAACAGCTATTTCAATTTCCAGTTCCAGGAAGATGCTTCATTCTGGAATTCATTTCAATTAAAAAAGCAACCTTCCTTTCACTGCTCCAGATCTCAATTGTACAATGAATACTACTCAGTCAGTAAAATTCTACTTTTCTGCAGCATGTATGATAAAGGGATGGTGACTGGAGGATGAAAACTCAGTTTTAGGAAAAGTTCTACTTGCCTGGATTGGCACTGCCCTCATTTCTGCATGTTAAGGACTTAAAACCTTCAAGTTTTCTGAGTTGTTGAAATCCCAGTACCTCCAACCATTTTTGGGACAAAAAATTAGTGACAGTTAAAAGCTTAGAATTCAATAGAAGCTATATGTGGTAAATCCCTTTTTCAGCTGCTTGAGAGGATGAGTACGATACTTCCAAGTAGCATATTAATGAAAGACATTTCATGATGCACCCAGTGGCTTCAAAGAAAAAGGATACTGGGTGAACCAACAGAGCACAGGAATTACTAAAGGGAGTGAGACTCTCCACAGCACGTACTCCTCCTCCAATGAGTTAGAGAAAGCTGAAAACAAGTCACTTTTGGATACGGCAAAACCCTTCCTAACCACTCCTCATCCTGATTCAGCACACAAAGGATCAAGAGTATTTTACTCAAATAGATCAATTAATGCTGGTGTTCTAAAGAGATTTCCAAGTATTTCTGCCTGTTACACTAATTCCAAGTATCTTCACGTGAACACAGTATCTCTCATTTCAGCTGTAATTTTTTGCTGGATGGCACACTGCCATGTTCTCACAGTTGTGGGTGAAGTTCTTGCTGTACCAAGTGCTTGGGATCCTCCTGGCTGAAATAACTTGAAGCACACTTGATAGAAAATATCCACTTGCTGAAGTGGTTTTGGTCATACTTGTAGATCTTTAATGAAAAGCCTGGCAGAAAACAAGCACATTTTGCTTGCAAAACCTCCTTTACACTGCCCTCATCTGCTTTACCACATTTCCATCTTTCTCATATGGATTTAAGTAGGTTGTTTTTGACGAAAACTGTTCTTCTGAAGTCAAGCGTGAAATCAACTTAGTTGATTTCAAATCAAGTTAGCATCAAGTTTAAAACCTTGTGAGAAGTGACGTATTTTTTCTTAGCCTTCTGACATATGACGTATCATTTCTTTCAAACAATAAGGGAAATTTCAAATTATCTTGCCAAGCCTTGGCAACAGTGTGCTGGAAAACAAAACAGCTTGCAAAAATTGAGCGTGACTTGAAGTTTCTACTAGAATAATCACATTAATCCACAATACCAACATTGACAAGATATAGATCAATGCATTTGCTGTTTGTAGTAGTGTCAGTACCAATTTAAGTAAAAGGGTTAAAGAGATGCAGCAACAGCATAGCAATCCATGGCCTGCCTCTCTTCATGTATCTGAAGTCTCTACCCCATTCTTTTGGATGATTTAGAAAGCCCTGTTCCCTCAAAGTTTTTTTTGACTTATTCTCCTCTTTTGATACCAAGCATGTCAGGATCCCTGGAAATTTTGCCATGATGATCTGAGATCCCATTCTCAGCCCTTGACTTACTCTAAAATGCATAAGAATCAAGATATAAGACAGGCTAGAAAAGCTTTTAAAAAGGAGGAAAACCAAACCAAAGATGCACAGCATCCCCTGTGTGGTAGGGAAGAGCTCTAGCGTGACCCACACAAAGCAGGACGTAGCTGGAAGCCTTTCTCAGGTCAACAGATGGACCCCAGGCTCCTGTGCACTGAAAACTGCACACAGATGAGCTCCTGCTTGTTACTTACACACACAGCAGGACAGGGCAAAGACTCCAAAGAACAATTTACTGGATCCCAAGTGCTTCATGCAGCAGGAAGCAAAGCTTAAGTTTCAAACAGTGGCGAAGAAGTGCGGATGGATCATAGGAAACGATGAAGCTGATTACTATCTTGCTACAGTAATATTACTAGAGGCACAACTGCAATCACCATCAAGGTGAGGATGCAGCTGCTGCTGGGATATTGCAAGAACATGCAGTCTGGCTAAGAGGCTCCAATGTTTTAAAGTGCAGACTGGTTAAATAAATCATCCAGGGAAAGAAGGAAGAGAAGCATCAGGGAAATGCAAGCTGTAAGCCTGCTTGGGTAGATTAGATCTCTTAACACTCCTCACTTTCCCTGGAAGTATGTGGAACCTCTGACAGCAGAGGTGAAGGATAAAGATGGCACTCTCACCACTTCAGCTTTACCCTAAAGCATACCATACATCCTTTCCCTTTGGTTTTGAAAAACACTGGGTAGGACCTCCCTAGTCCCACCTGAAAAAATGTTTGCTATTCTTATGGAGTGGATCAAAATGTATTGTAAGTTATACAGCCTCATGCCCTTGCACATGTAGTACATTTAACGTTATACTTTCAATGACCTGTCACTTACTCCAACATCTGTTGGAATAAGTAAGTCTACCCTGTCCCACTGTTGACAACCCCACGGCAGAAACACCCTGTATCATTATTACCAGATTGTACAGTGAGGAATTGTATCACATTATCCCTCAAAACACACATGCAACTGCTTATCTGACACGAAATATCAGGCTCCTCTCCTCTTCTGACATCCACCAACACCTCCTCACAACTATAAACAGTGAATTGGAGCACTTGCAAATAATTCATGATAGCTACTCCCAGTTGCTGGAGTTACAGGTGTAAGGGTACTTATCAAAATACTTTAGTGTCTGATATTCAGAAATCTCAGTTCTAGTGAACTTGATCTTCTGGAGTGGCAGGCCATGCTACCAAGCAGCTTTAATTTGTCTTTGACTTGTTTTTTCGTAGTTAATTCTATTTTAGTTTCATTGATAGCAACTGGATTATAATTATTTCCAAATCCAGTATTTTGGATTTGGCTTTGTTTGATATTAATTGTAAAAGCAGTATTTTTCTCACTTTCCAGATTACATTGTCTTGACTGTATCGATTAAGGTAATACATCTTCCTCGCTTGAATTCTCATTCCTCTTCGGACTTTCTCTTTGCTTTTGCCATTTAAACATTTGCCATTGAAAACAGTATGTTATGAGATAAACACAGGGACAAGGAGGGTGGCAAAACAAAATGGTATTTCAAAGGTACCTCTAACTCCTAAGTTATCAGAGCAGCATTCAAAAACCTGAATGAAATTTGACGTGACTTACACAGTATCTTTACCCAAGCAGCCACAACACTAATTCATTAACAAAAGTAGCTTTTAACTCCAAACGCATTCTGAATCATTAATTCACTAGATCTATTAATTTGCAATGATTTACAAACATATGAGCACTAAGTAGAGTATCTTGAAATTCCAGTTTGGCTAATTAATTTCCAACGACTTAAATTCAACTTTCAGCATCAGACAGCACAAGATACCATATACTTAACCTGAATACTCGGGTGCACTATTAAGACTATAGTCAACTGCTACTATAAATACAGATGTAACAGTAACGAGCTCAGGAGTGCTCTGGAAACACTGATTTTTGAGATGTGTTGTGAGAAAGCTAATGCACACAAACCAGAAGGAGCTCAGAGGTCACTCACTTTTACAAATGCTGAAAAACTCTAAAATGTCACTTCAAATGATTCCGTTTTCCAAAAAGGAGGTAAAGAACTATACTTACAAAGTAAACTGCTCCAAAACTTCCATGTCCAATTTCATGTAAACCCACAAATATTTCTTCAGGATCATCTTTATAGAACAGGTCAGCTATTTCTGGGTCCTTTGGCACCCCTTTGCGCATGTTGAACAGTATTACAAACTAGTTCGCGCTTTCGATTTCCAATCAATTTCTTCCTTCATCGACAAAGTAGTTTGTAGACAGCATTCAGCACCTGGGGAAAAAGTTCATCTTTAATCTGTTTCCCTTACTCATGTTTCTGTTCTCACTTCTCTGACAGCAAAATAAGAGGAAACACTTTCAGGAGCAATAAACTTGACTATCGTTTCCTTCAGCTAATCCTTTTTAATTATTAGTCCAATTTAGATATAGAGATTAAAATGCGTTCAGAGTACAACAGCTCTTTATCTCGTACAGGAAGCAAATGCTGCAGTTACACTAAAGTCCACTTGAAGACAAGAGTCCTGTTGCTATGCAAAACATCCTGTGACACCAGTTTGTTATTTTTCATGCTGGCCTCCTAATGTGTCAGTTTTCAGACTATCACCATTGTTCCTCCTACTTTTCTCTGCTGTTTGTTTGCTTTGTTTCTCTACTCCCACTCGCCAGCTGGTGCTAGTAGAAAAGTCAGCTTCTGTTCCACAGAAACACTTCACAATCATATGATTTTTAAATTCATTTATTTATTTATTTTTCAGAGCTGTAAGACAGCTAGAGCTGTTGGTTGTGATGGCTCCCAGGTCACAGAATTGCTTTTGAAAGATCCTAGACACCATTGTGTAAGGCAGATCTTTACCTCCTTAACATCTTTCTTTAGCATATAATTAGACAGCACAGAACTGAGCTGAACTTAAATGAAGACTTTAAATATTCATCCCCAAAATTTTATTTATGGAAAAAAAAGAATAAACAAGCAAACATCAGAAAGTTTCACATTTTCTAACAAAACACCCTGAAAAAATTGGCATTGGTTCATTAGGCACTGGTGTGCAAAGGCAGGATGGATGCCTCTACCTATCTGCTTTGAGTTCTGAAACCCAGCAGATTATCTGCAGGCGAGTCAACTGGAGCAGTTTCTAACAGTCTGGAGCAAGTCTCCAACTACTTCCAGATATGTAGTTCAGCATTTATTGAGATCACATCTTCTCTGTGCACAAAAGAAAGAGACTTCTGAAAACATACATTAAAATGTTCAGCTTACCTCATGATATAAACCAGTGTAACATTTAAAGACAGACCAGCTGAAATTTAGCAGTTGGATAAAGTTAAAACTAAAACACAATAAAAGGCTTTAGAAGGTTTCAGACTGCAAGTGCCATCCAGATGGAATGATGAACGCAGAGCATAATCTTGGTCTGAGGCTGAGAAAGTCTCCTTGGCTCAGGATGACAGGTAATGGAGCAACAAGCAGAGCAAATGGCAGCTCATGAGAGGTGCACGGAGTATTCTGCTGGCACGTACCTGGGTAACTGTGGCACAAAGCATGCTCCGTGGCTCAGATTCCTTTCAGCAGCATCGTCCTGCGCTCTCGGCCCCCCCAGACTCTATGTGCTCTCTTATTCTGCAAAGGAACACAAACAATCAAATACTTAGAAAAAGTATTTGAAGTTTTTTATTTAATACACAAAAATAACTACATCTAGAAGAGACCACTGACTATCAAGGCACCGTTTGAAAGCGCAGTAATAAGGAGCACTGGCTGTGAATGCTAACGCTGAGGTGAAGACATGCACTGCTGTGTTCTATAGCCCTTGGGCTTGCTATGTATCATTATAAGACAGGAAATCAGGAAAAATGGTTAAAAGACAAGTTCTTTGACTTTTATAAATACACTTAAGTTTGCTGGGGCATAGGAGGAACATGGAAGTTTGCTTTCAGGCTACACTTTTTAGGTTGCCTATAAAAAGGACACAGCTCACAAATTATTTAGCTCAGAACATTGTACCTGATGACATACAAGACTTCAAAACCATCAAATATAGCTAGATTCCACCAGGAAGAGAATGAAAAGATGAAAAAGAAGGGCAACCAGTTAGACCCATCAGCTGAAATCAGGTCTAGGTTGCTCACAGTTAAGGATGCAACTGCCTGGAGTCACCCATGGTGCAGCAACTCCCCCAAACAGTCCTCTTGATGGAATCAAGCACACCAAGAGCTTGGGATTACCATACACAACAGCCCTCATGGGAAAGGTTGGCATGTAGCTACATGCACAGGAAAAATGCTTCACAAGTAAAACATACTGCAATAGTTATACTGCCAAAATCTGAATTAATATCCACCCGAATTAATGACAAACAAGCTAGCTCATCTCATTTATTAGGAAGAAATAGATGAGCAGAAGTCTTCCTGCTAGTAGCTAAACTTCCAAAAAAACTGATATTTTTGTCTACTCTTCTCAACACAGAGCAATACAATTGAGTATTAAAAAAAGCTATTTGAAGAGCTCCAGAAAAAGGATCTCCAATGTTTAGTTAAAAAAAAAAAATCCCAAGAACAAACTACTGACAAAAGCCAGATGAATTAAATGATTATTCATTCTCAGCTGATAGGCCTCACCCAAAGGTGCTGTATTTACTACGTGCTTGCAGACAGAGGCAAAGAATGCAGTATTTCAGGTCTGGCATTCTTCAGCCAAGTGAAAAATCCATTTGGCTTCAGAACAATAAAAACAAACTGAGGAAGAAAACAATTTATCCATCTCTAGTCAAATGATCTTCTCTGTCATAAGCCAAATCTGTGCAGCACTAATATTGAAGGATAAATTAGTATTTAAAATGGGAAACTAAATATCAATACTTAAAAGTTAAGCCCTAAGTAATAATGTCATTCTGCAACTGGGACAGACACAGAATCCCAGACTGGTTTGGGTTGGAAGGGACCTTAAAGATCATCCAGCTCCAACCCCCCTGCCAGCAGCAGGGACACCTTCCACTAGACCAGGTTGCTCAAAGCCTCATCCAGCCTGGCCTTCAACACTTCCAGGGAGGAGCAGCCACAGCTTCTCTGGGCAACCTGGGACACTGTCTCACCACCCTCACATCAAAGAATTTCTTCCTAATATCTCATCTAAATCTTCCCTCTTCCAGTTTAAAGCCATTTCCCCTTGTTCTGTCACTAACTGTCCTTATAAAAAATCCCTCCCCAGCTTTCTTGTAGCCCCTTCAGGTACTGGAAGGCCACCATGAGATCTCCCTGAAGCCTCCTTGCACATACACACTGAGGTCACACAATAAGTAAATCTTTTCAGCAAGACTATTATTTCCCAGTAATGATTATCAAAAAACTTAGGATGGAAAGTGTATCAAGAGTGAATCCTGTTGATCTGAACACGATCACCAACCGCTGCATACAGTCCCACAGCACCTGTGGTTTCTCGTGGTACAACCGCCGAGAACCCTTCTCGTGACAGCTCCACAGCACTAGATGTGCAATTCACAGGACAGCGTAAGGCAGAAAAGATACAAATCTCACTGCTTTGAGGTAAGCAGGCAAGGTCACAAATTCTTAATGTTACAGCTCTCTTCTAGACACGTGAAGACTGAAATAAAGATGGTTTAAACAATGCTAGAGGATTACAGGAGTCGAAAGCCATTAGTAGAAAAGCTCAAGTTCAAGGTATCATCAATTTCAGCAAGTTCTTGCAGTTACCAAACTACTGAATTAACACATCAAGAAACAATTTCTACTAGAAGGCTGATTTTTACTCCTTATCCTTCCAAATGCACATCTAAAGCAGCATTTGAGACTTTGCGTGTGCTGAACACCTCAAATGAAAACAGCATTAATCACACTGGCAGTGACTTACAGAAGTGACAAGTGACTCCAAATTATCAGCATTTTGTTCAGATAAGGCCATTTGGAGATACCTCAAACTGCCTATCTAGAAATTAAAGCCCTCAATCAACAGTTACTAGCAAAAAATCCCTGCCTTGGAGGAAAAACTGCTTGTGCCCCATTTCTGAACTATTGTAAGTGGTTAGAAAGATAGGATGAATTCTTGAAAGTAAAGTCAGCATCAGAAATGATACTAAGAAAAATATTTACATGAAAAAAAATTCTCTGATGAAGATTACAGAATTTATTATGGCAACTGGAAAGAAAATTGTTTTTTAAAGGCCTACAACTATTCCAGCTACAATTGGGAAACCATTGTTATGCTGGACACATCTATATGGCAATGTCTCCATTTCCCAGTACGGTCACAGGCAGGGGAAAGCAAAATCACCAGTTAAAGTTCACTCCTTTACGGGAAATGTGCCAGGAAACCCAGCCTGCCCAGCACAAAAGTGCCCAAAGTGAGAGTGAAATGCTGAAGAACTGCACTGAAAACTACAAGGGCAAGATGATTATGTTCTTAAATCAATGAAGCAATTCTGCTTAGAGCAATCTGCTGTGCTATTCTCCTCCTCTCCCACCCTTCAAACACAGAAATCCAGGAAGGCAGCCCAGCCAAAGTGAAGCCCTCTCCATGGAGTGGGTAGTTATTGCTGTAGTTCTGGCCCACTGACATCTTCTCAGAGTGTTTCAAGGATTCTCTGCTCCTCACTTAGGCTAAATGGTGCAATAACCTGGTGCTTTTAGTGGTTGGGGCAAGATGACAGCAGGTGTCATCATGGAGTTCCACCAGAAAATGATGGTGGAGAGTATGGGAACAGTCAGGCCAGGAAGCAGATAGCAGCATGCTACTGCCTACGAGCGAGGAAGATAAACTAGTGACATGTCCTGCAGACAACTCATAGACTGGACCTTGGATAATGCTGTAACAAGTCTTCCTACTATAGCAAATAAGGGGGGTTTTTTCATCCCAACAATTTAAAGAAAGGCAACATTTCCTCAATCACAAGCAACCCTCACATTTAAAAAACATGTGTTACTGCGTTTGCTACGTATGCTTGCACAAAAATTCTCTTGCTACCAATGATGACCTCCAGGTGCTTTATGAATAACAGAAAAGACCCTGACCTGCATATAAAACAAGCAATGAAACATAACTGGAAGTGCCTTCAAGAAGAGCTAAACTACCCACATTTCCAAACATTCCATAGATCTAAAACTATGTCCACGTATGAGAAGACAGTTATACTTGAGAACTCAAATTCTGTAACTGCTAGCGAGATGTCTTCACAGACCATGGTATCAGAATCATAGAATCCCAGACTGGTTTGGG